TACTACAGCTAACGGCTACTCAGACGGCCAAAGCGAAGTGTCGTCATGCTTCAGCCGTTGACGCGACGGCCACACGCCTGGATCTCGAACTACCTCAGCTATGCTGAAGATTTACCGGTAAGATCTGGACTTAGGTCAACGTCGAACCTAAAGCAGTAAAAAGGTGGCTGACACAGCATCATAGTCATCTCAAAAGAGCGACGGATCGTGATCACAGCTGGGATGTGCCACGGGAAGGTGGCGCGCTAACGCCGGGGCGGGCTCCGCATGCTGATCCAGGCCACGATAGAGGGAACTATTTCCCGGTAATCTGTCTACCAGCGTACCAGCCATTCAACCGCAGCTTTGCTCATGAGGACGTCATGTGGAGATGACTGCGGGTTGTTCTGGTATTGTAGTGCGGTCAGAGCCTCAAGCAAAGCAAACAACGAAGAATCCTCGACCGCAACACGATCGCCTACTCATGGTGACCTCATTACAGCAGCCTCTGTCGACTTCGAATGGACATACCCACAAGCGGAATACCCGACCATAATTCTAGGTGGCTGACCCGAAAACACGCTTTTGGCCGTGGGCGCTACTGAGCGCAGACCTTGCCTTGACAGATGGATCGCATCGCAATTCTATTCGGGCGATCGAGTTCTCAAAATGGCACCACTGCAAGGCTTACAGCGCATGACTTGGATGAATAGGGTCGGCTTGTGGGAGTGGCAACGAGGAGTCCTGGTGACCCATCTAGGCAGCGCCACATGCTCATGCTCGGTATGCACACCAGCCGCTAGTGCAGTCTGGAGTCCACGAGGAAATGGCACTTGGAAGTCTGGATTCATTTTGAGCGGCTTGTTGGTTGTGGAGACGCTGCGGTGTCTTTGTATATTTGTGTTGGAAGAGCGAAATTTGCTTTCGTGGTAGATGAAGTATCTTCACATTAATCAAGTACTTCGCGAGATAAGATACATGTCTCGTTGAGTCACGGTGGTCATGATAGTTGCGAGAGGTAGGTGACAAAGTAGCTATATATTGAAGTGCTTGTCGTCTTGTCTATCGCTTATGAATTCTCGCAGGTAAACATAGATGTGACAAGGTAAAGAGAGAATGCTCATACCCGCATCCCGTGGCTTCCAAACATCCTGCCACCATAGTCAAGGAAGAAACCGGACAATCGCTAAAGTTCGATGACCTGGAAGTCTACATTGCCTCCAGCTTTAAGTGAATCTCTGTTTTGAGGTTCATGTAGATTGCAGGCACCTGTTCATCTCGACAGTGTCTTCCTTGTATGAGGCCCCGCAAGTGGTGTCTTCACAGGTGCGCTTACTTCTCCCCTCAGAAATACAGCAAAGGAGCTACAACCAAGAGCCTTATTGCCGCAACAAGTTGTGTAGCGCATTAGCTGTGTTCACATACGACATTCCTTTTTTATGAGTATCGAGAAGTCGCAATGCGCTCTTGCTCTTGTTCTTGCTCTTATCACATAGGTGGGGCCAACCAAAATGCTTGGTGAATTTTGATTTTCAACGTGGAAGCTGCGGAATCGCTTCGACGCCGCGTCTAGCAACTGCTCTGTTGATTTCTGCCGATACCACTGATTTTACCGCAATTATAAGCGCTGCGTTTCTCGAACCTTCCATCAATCATCCGATAACACGGTCGCTTAGCTCAGTTGGTTAGAGCGTGGTGCTAATAACGCCAAGGTCGCGAGTTCGACCCTCGTAGTGACCATTCACAGTCTTTTCTTTTTGCCTTTTGCCAGAAAACTATGTCAAAGTTAATCTTACGATGTGGGAGAAAGATCCGCAGGACGACAGGGGCGCGGTCGCGGGTTCAAACTTCGTAGTGACCACCAACACTTTTTTTTGTCTTTGCCAAGCTTCTGCTCTGTGAAACGACCTCGCTCTTTTCGCTTCAACCTTGTTCCTGTCTTGAGCCCATCAAGGTCGCTGGGAGGGAGAAGAATGGCATCGCAATATTATGGAAACGTGTTGTACAATGTAATTAAGGATATACGCCCACCACATCCCAGGAACAGATGAAACGCTCTGCAGTCTACATTGGTGTCAAAACGAAAGTTGACAAGCTTCTGACGCAATGTAGACCCCCGGATCGTTTACCTCCCTCACTCTTCGTAGATGGGTAGTGTAGGTGTTCAAATTCCTCGTTGAACGGGGTGCGCAAATCAAAATGCCTCTCCAGCGAGATCCTCTGCCAGGCCCTCCAGCTCTTCCTGTCTGAAAGGTACCCACAGTCTCTCCGTACCCATACCATCCTTCTTACTCTCTATCATCTGATGGTCGTGGAACTCCTTGAGTAGCGTCCTGAAACTGACCTCACTTGTGCAAACGAAGGCCTCGACAGCCTTGTGATACAGCACACGGTACTCAACGCCCTGGGTAGACTCTGGCAGAATGTTCTTGACTTGTGCGACCTTCTTCGACCTCGGCGTAGCAGTAACCTCGTCTTCTTCATCCATATCACCCCCTTCCATGAGTGAGAGAGCTAGCTGTTCCATGACGAGAATGCGGAACAGTTCTCGAGCTTGCTCCGGTAGAGAGCGTAAGACGAAGCCGACACCATCTCTTCCGCCTACTCGTCTACCGCTGCGTCCGAGAAGCTCATTCACAGTCTCTACCGCGTCTATCTCCGCGTCGTAGGGCGCAAAGGTTGTTGCGTCGTGGAAGAGGAATTTGTATTGTGTCTTCATGCCAACATCCCACAGAAGAGGAAAGTTCGGTGTATCCGCTGTACACACAAGGTTGATTGATGGCTGTGCAGCTAGGCGGGCGAGCATGGAAGGTACTGAAGACTTTCGAAGGTAGGGCGAGTCGATGGAATTCAGAATGACGGGTACTGGATGCGGCGGCGGGTTGCTGGTGAGGTGTTCGATGATGAAATCGAGTAGCAGAGCGGGCTGATTGGGCAACTTTGGTCCGGCTGGTATGACTGCCGATGCCAAAGTCAACAGCAAGTCTTTTACGGTTGTGCCAGCTGTGTATCCGTTGATAACCACAATCTTCGGTGACTTCTTTGTCCCTTTGTACGGCGCAGCGTCTAGGAGAGACTGATAGAGGCGTGCGGTGAATCGTTCGGTGATGATGCGCTTCGATCCGTACCCATAGAGGCATATGTTGAAACCTTCCTCCAGCTCAAAGATCCATTGATCGTATGCTCGGCCATGCAATTCAAGCAAGAACTCTCGTTCAGACTGGTGGCGGTCCTCGTACGTTTGCATTGCTGAGAAGTATTCATCGTGATTCAACAGGCTCTGCGCAGAGAGAGTGTTGTTGGAGGTTTTGGTGCCGCCTGGGCGATTCTGCCAGAAGTACTCCTCGTGCGGTGGCAGCTCAGTCGGAGGTGTCGGCGAGCGCTGCTTTCGCGGCCGCCCTACTTTTCCTGACCCCTTAGGTCGGCCTCTCCCACGCTTCGAGGGTGTCTCTGGTACAGGTATCTCGTCTTGTACCACTCCCTCCTCGGCCTGCTCCGCGTCCTCTGTGTCTTCCCCTAAGATGTGTTCGGCGAGGTCCTCCTCCTCATCCAGCGCATCTTCGTCGCTTTCGTCGCCATTCAGTGTGCGTTCCAGTATATGGCGATTGCTCTTTCTGCGCGCGCTGCGATCGGCGTTGCGAACGATGGTGGGCGTGCCATTCGGAGAGTCTCGTTTTGCGGATTTGGTAGGTGTCTCAAAGACCAGCTTCCGGGCAGACTTGGGCGTCGCGATGATGCCGTTTACCAGACCAGTCTTTTTCAAGATGGATCGGGGCGTCCCATGCTCGGCCAGATGTTGTGTCCTCCCCTTTCTGGATGGTGTCTGCGCTTCGAGGGGTTCTAGCTCATCGTGAGCCTCTTCAGCGAATCGTGCGCGTGATTTCTGCGGTGTGCCCTCGTCGACATCGTCTTCGTCGCGTCTGCGCTTTGTGCCGACCATGTTCTGTTCGTTGGGTTGTTGGTCGGGCAGGAGGGTGACGCGACTTGCGCGACTTGGGCTTGGCGCGATGGTTGAGGCTCAACCTTAAAGCTTATTTCCGAAGGGTCGAGGACTCGGATTCTTTCCGCAAGCCGTGGGCTCATAGTGACTTATTGCATTTCTAGCCTTTGCTACTTGCGTTTGATCCTGTCATTCACTGGAGGTAGCCATACTGTCGACAAGGCGGCAGGAAGCCACAACCATGCATTCTGGGCAATCGCATTGACATGTGATCGTGCCTGACACACCGGGGCTTGGACGCTTGGAAGCATCGTACACCAGGTGCACGCTCTCGTCTTCTCCACTGGCAACCCCGTCGCATGCATGTGTGCACACTACCACAACACGCAGCATGCAAACTGGTGGTCCAGGCTATATGCATGCGAGACATTTCTTCGCTTCGACGACTAGATTTGGTCATGCACGATTATGTCAAGCAGCCTTGCCGACTATGCTAGCGCCCCTGGAACCTGGAACCTGAGGGATGTTCGCGGCCCGTTCGTAAGCGGATACTTGCTGCCTCCCCGTGGTAGTCACGCCGCGGTGGTCTGTCAGACGTGACGAGGTGGTGATTCAGACGGCCAAGGCAGATGACACTTTCATGTGCGAATCTTGACAACGTGTCTCAGAGGGTGTCATGTTGGGCTGTGGCTGAGACGGGCTACAAATAGCTGTAGGGCTCCATGGGCTATGCAGTCAACAGGCGCTGATAGGCGTGGGTTAGGCGAAAATGGTGCCCAGCCAGGATTGTGCTTCTTTGATGATCTCACGCATGCCGGCCGCTCCTTCTCAGTTTCCGTCGTCGTGTTCGTCCGCTCCTGCCCCGCACAACCCCAAATCTTCAGCTCCGTACTTCTTGCACCCACGACGAACCCGCCAGCAAAGCCCCGCCTACCGCCACGAGACTGCTACTGCGACGCCAGCACCGCCGACGGCAACAGCCTTTGAGCGCCTCGTTGCGACACGCTCGCCCCAGAACGCCGCGCGGCGCATTACCCGGTCTTCAGCACGCGCTTCGGGCTTTCGGACTGTTGATGCCAGCATGGAACCCAGGAGGCGGCCAGAGTACAACCTCGAGATCTTTGCCGACGCGGCGTGCGTGAAGGATGTCGTCAAGGGTGAGTCTCTTCTCCTCCACCGTGTCTCTGGCGTGAAGATCGGCGCAACTTTCTCCCCCACTACACGTCTCCCCGCTCCGAATACCCCGTAGACCATAGTTGACCTGGCTCCAGCGATACTGCACACGATATTCTTCCACCGCTACTTTACGTCCATCTCTCCTTTGACCCGCGACCTCCTCGACCTGACCCTTCCCGCCATTGACGATGTCGATCTCGAGACACTTATCGAACAGAAGACGTTTGCGCTAGTTCGGGCGATAGACAGCACGCACCAGCCGCGAGGAAGGGGGCAGATTGTCGTGCAGTTCTTTGAGAAGAAGCGAAAGAAGACATCGTACTTCTTCAGCAAGGCGGACGAGGACGTTTGCTGGGAGCAGTGGACGCTGGACGTTACCCTTGCCCAGCCACGCACAGAAACTGGTATGTCTCTCCGCTTGTTGCAACGCACGCCACTAACATAGTGTCAGATGTACTCAAGGTCCGCCGTGCCATGACCAAGTCTCTGGAAAAGGCAGCGCATAAGATCATCGCCATTGTGAACCGAGAAAAAGACCACATCCCACCCATCACAACCACCGACGCCAACCCCTTCCCTTACCAGATCGTCGTCAACCCAAAGTCTGTCAACGAGAACGACTGGCGGCCACGCATCGGCCTTTTCTGATACCAATACCACGGCACCGAGTGCAGTAATAAACCCACTGTATATACACCCATGGACGATGTTACGAGTAAGAGGAGGTTCAACACCGCTGGGGGACACCAATCGCCACTGAATGCGACGAAAAGGATGGAAAAGTTATGGATTCGCACACCTGAAAGACCGACCGCGCTTCACCCCCTTATCCCTCGCCACCACTACCACTGCCAAAAGCTCCGTTGTACAGTGTCCGCTATGTCGGGCAACCCCCATAACTGTGTCGCATTCTGAACCCGCGGATATCGGGAAGTTTAGCGAAGAAGACGAGCCTCTGGTGCTCCTGATTGTTTGATTGCTGCGATAGCTACACAAGATACCCAATTCCCCAATGAAATTTCCTCATTCTACATAATTACACAGTATTGTTGGTGATGTCAATTCTGGCCAATGTTGTTCTCGAGGAAGCGTCTGGGACACACCCACGTGCAATCAAGCTGCTTTACTACTTATACTTCTTGGTAATCTAATAATTTACGTCTAACTGGGCTCTGTAATCGTTATTCAGCGTCCCAACTCTCTAGCAATATCCAGCTCATCCTTCATTGTTATTCTCAGCCCACTCAACCCACCGCTTCACAACCTCATCCACCTTCTTCACCCCCTCCTTCGTAGCCTCGACTTCAAACCACTCTTTATGCGACTTACCACAAGCATCGCACTGCTTGATGACACGCTGATCCGCAAGCTCGAGATGAATCAGGCGCTCCACACGATGCGCATGCGGCACTTTCCTCACGCCATCAGAGGCAGCCCCAGCATTCGCACCTGATTGCCGCCGTGACTGTGCGGGCGAGGGCTGAGGAGAGGGCGTGGAAGAAGAAACGTAGGGATAGTACCGTACGAGGGATAGACTGTATCCGCACTGGCGAGTCCATTCGTTCATACGGCGGTGGACGTTGTTTGCGCGCCCGATTTTGAGGAGGATAGTATCTTTTTCTGGTGGGGAGTTTGCGGATCCGGATCTTGAGCGGGTGGTGTTGGGCTGTCCGCCTTTGACGGAGAATTGGCGCATGACATCTGAAGTTCGCCTACTTTGATCTGTACGTGATGGTGGTGAGAGAAGCGTCGACGCAGCGGAGGATGGTGCAGGGCCGGCGGCTTCGGGGGTGAGCCAGAAGATGTAGATGTAGCCTTCTTCGTCGTGGGGTGAAATGGGCTTTGAGAGTTGGGCGAGCAGGGTCGACGCGAGTTGTGGTGGTACTGTGTTCGGGATGTAGCGGAGTAGCTTGGCTGTTTCTGACTCTTCGCGAGTTGTCCGATTGACAGGTCGAGCGGGCTTTTCTCCTAGTGGCTTGCGGGCAGGTTGATCACTTGGTGGTCGCGATGTGGGAGGTGGTCGCGAGGAAGATGAAGGTCTCGAGGTCTGTCCGCTCGGCCTTCGATGATCTTGTCGTACTCGAGGCGGTTGCTGTGGTACCTGCTGCATGGGAGTCTCTTGTGCATCGTCCTCCGATACTGGCTTTTCATCTGTCCTTCTCTTGTGTCGCACGACCTCTGTATATTCCTCGTCATCCGCAGACCCACAGCACAATGAAGCCCAAAAACTCTTCTTTTTCCTCTGTGGCGGTGGCTTCGGCGGTCGATGGTCTCGGCGCTTTCTTGCTGCCATGACATCGCTCGGTACAGACATCAACGGCCCTTCTACGTTGTCCCAGGTAGCTGGTCGATTGATGCGCCGCGGCGGACGAGATCCAGATGTTCTCCTCCTTCCATTCTTCTTGGGCGCGACTTCCTCCGGTTCTCCAAAATCAAGGACACCCAGTCGTTCCACGAGCGTGTCGATACTGTTCCTCTCTTTCAACGGGTAAAGCTGAGTCGCCGGACCGCTCGATGCTTGCGCGGCCAATTGCTCGGCTTGGTCTTTGTGTTGCCAGCAGAAGTAGGCGGCGGCGCCAATCTCGTCATCGTCGCTGTCGTCGCTAACAACGGATACTACAGCGATAACACCCTCATCATTAGATGCTTTCGCATCAATAGGACGTCTGCAGGGTCGTCCCGATTTAGTAATGCCTTTGCATGTTGTAGCCGGGTTGCGCGAATCCGAGCGCGGAATGAGCGATTCTGGTGTCGTTCCCGTGAACATGTTGGTGTAGTTGTAGGAGGGCGATCCGTGATTGCTGGGCAGACAGTAGGACTAAAGTCAAAGCCAAATTGCAGATACAAAGCCCAGACTGGTGTGAATCTCGCGCCCGTTCACAGCCTCACCGCCACGTGAAGCGAAAGTTACTTGAGGAGCGGCGCCGGCCAGTGAATCTCGATTGTCGAGACCAACGCTGCGCACGCGGTGTGCCAACGCATTATGAGCCATCGCCGCGAGCTGGGCGCGTAGCTGAAAAGAGATGGCGGGTCTCAAACGCGAGGTGGGCGCGTGGCGGTGCATGTGGCGCAGTGAGGCGAAAAGAAGGTTTGCTGACTTTAGAACGAGCCCGGACCGCTTCTTCCAAAAGTCGTCCACCACCACCACATCGACTCCAGCATCGGCAACGCCAAAAAAAAAGCGTCATGATGCAAAAAGAAAGTAATGCATCGGCCGGGAATCGAACCCGGGGCTAGCCGAAACTGTCCTGTGAGAGATGGCAACGGCTAATTTTACCACTAAACCACCGATGCGGAGGCGGAGACCAGAGGACTGGACTGCTTGATGGAAATTTGAGGAAATTCACCATTTATAATTTACAAAACCAAGTCATCAGTTGTGAAATGCCGCCTGGTCATTGTCTAGACAGAAGAAAAGTCAGTTTTCCAGAGTTTGGTCCCACTCCCATGCATCCTGATTAGCCGCGTGGGTCGGACAACGCGTCTGCCGAACTCGGACAAGTCTGGGTTTCCTACGCCTCGCATCAAATCTGTGTCGGCTCTACATATCGTTTCCATCAAGCGTTTTGGTTGAGTCTCTCCTATCACCGCCTATATTCGCCAACGAATACACCTCAGAGCAATTGAGGCAACAATCAGTTCGGAACGAGACTGGCTTCTACATATTAACACGCAGTTCACGTTGAGGAAAGCTCTACTTTGTGCAGCCAGATTGTCTGAAACAAGGGAAAGAGGTCTCTGACAGCCGAGGACATATTTAGCGAGCACCTTTGCATCAAGTATTGAATGTCTTTGGTATTCATGTGCAGTATGGTAGCTGTAGTGCGTCGAGGTTACCTGATACAATCAGACGTAAGTGGTATATATGATAGGATTTCAGCCGCTAGTAGAGAGAAGGTAGCGGCAGGAAGACATTCGACTAGAAATCGGCACTCAACGGCGGCTGTGTGGGAGGCGGGAGGCGCACTCATTGCCGATGTGGAAATCTTCCGGAGTGCGGGGACATTATCTACATGCAATCAATTCTCCGACGCTTGAACGTTTCAGCCCTTGTACGCCGCAACACCAAGACAATGTACATTAAACGTGACCCAGCCGCCAGAGGAAGGTAGCATATCTGGCTGGATACGAATCATCGCGAGTGGGAAGGATTGAACGATGCTCTCCTATGCGTGGGACAATATCCTAGCTTATCAACCCACCTACCCAATGAGGCCGAACGACCGTCCTTAATTGCAGCCACTACAGCAGCAAAGGCGTGCGTGGTAATCAGCGGTGGAGATTTACCATGAAAGAACACATGGTATATCATTGGGCATGCCGCAGCAGCCCTGAACAGCGCCGACAACCACAGCTCTTGATCCAACCCAAGTAACTACACCCACGATCATGCAGTTCTCTATTCTCCTCGTCGCGGCGTATGCCTGCACCGCCTCCGCACGCCTGACCTGGTCCCTGGCAAAAGCGTCCAACCCCACCGCCGACCAAAGAGACGCATACACCAAGATCGAAGCTGCAATGACAAAGGCTGTCGCTCGCTACGAGAAGTACTCCGACGCAAACAAGACGATTCGTGTGGCCTACGCCCCGGGTGTTCCTACTGCTGAGGCGAACTACAACGGTGATCTACGATTCGGCTCGAACCGCGCTTACATGACGGAAAGGACTGCGATGCATGAGATAAGCCACACGCTGGGAGTTGGCCAGACAGCGGCTTTTGACAGAAAGTGTGCTGCGGGCGATTGGCGCACGGCATTACCGCTGATCAAGAGCTTTGATGGAGCAAATGCGAAGATTACTTGCGGTGGTGGACACTTCTGGCCATACGGTATGATAAAACTCGATGTGCCAACTGGACGTGAAACATAGACTGACTTGCCATGTCGATATTTCAGGTCTGAACTACGAGACCGAGTGGAGCGAGACGAATGCGAACCGGCATGTGCAGTTGATTGAGGCTATGCTGACTGACGGGATGTGAGGTGATCGTTGTCCAGTACGCTGTTACAATTTAGCGTTTATACAATGCGAACGAACCCCGATCAGTCATTGTGCTACCATCGTTTACCAAATGAAGTTCTCCGTGATCTCTCAAATTGTCGCAGACGATGCGGATAGAGCATCGATACATGTCTGAGTTTCCTCGCCGTCTATTGCTTCAACTTCCAGACGCTAATCATGTCGTCGCCGCGACTTTGTTTGAAAGAGACCGGGGGCTTCCAATACACAACCCTTTCGAACGAGCCCTGCTCCTTTCCTGTTCCAAGAAGATTGCCGGAGTCGTCGAACAGGCCATCAGCGCCATCGGCTAGGAGGTTCCAGTGTACACCGTTCAGACCCCATGGCGGACCTTGAGCTTTCAGAGGCTTCCACATTGGAAATTCGAGGCACACGAGAACACCGGTTGGCGACAAAAGGCTCTTCATGCGATCGGCCCAATCTCTTCGCATCTCAGGAAGCAGGGCACACAGGAACTAGATCGACGTTATTAGCACTCGTTATGAGAATGTCGGCCGGGACTCTTTGCATGCCGAACGTACTGTATAGTCATAGATTAGATCGAAACCCTTGAAGTCGGGTCCGAAATGAGCCTCGAATCCCTTTTGGAAGAAGTCGCCGAGCACGACGTCAGCGACATGGCCAGCTGAAGGATCTAGGTGAGATTTGACGTTTTCGTTTGCGGCATCCACGGCTCCTTGGGAAATTTCTAGACCCCATGTCCTGAAGCCATGACGTGCTAATAGCGCCACGTCATGCCCCTTACCGCAGCCCTAATGCGTGATGAGTTCCTGTTGAATACGTTCGTCACGAGACACCTACAGGCACAAATGCCTTCAACTGCCGTTGACTCTGGTCTCGGAACAGCGTCTCACGGTAGGGATGTTCTTCAAGGAACGTAGTCAGAGCAGGCGAAGCTTGGCCCCGATCCCACAGATCCTGTTCCTTCTGTTCCCACAGTTTGGCCCACCCGTCGCTCTGTGCATCCCGGGTGCTGGAACCGTTAGTTGTGGCTACGGAAGTGGCGGCACGTGGCGCTCCTTACCTGTAGCCATCAAAGTGGGAGACCAAGCGGGTCCTGTTTTCAGCAAACTGGGTTTCGGAACTCATGGTGCGGGAGGATGCAAGGATTGAGGATGTCACGGCAAAGCCTGGAAGCCGGTTCAGTGGTGATAGAGATCTGTTGATCCATGCGCCACGCTAACCTCGTGCCTGACGCTACCTGGCTGGAGACAGCGCATCCTTGACGTCACCCCACCTTTTTACCAACAACACTAGTAACTTGCTCTAGGCTCCTACTTGCCCAGTCGCGTGAGCTTGGATTCTTTCGCATTCACCAATAATGAGTTAGAGACGGTAGAGTTGTAGGATTGCGGCTGTGCGGCTTAGAGCACGACCGGGGCGTGGCTATGGTAGTGCAGAGAACAACATCTCGTTGCATACATCCAATATCGGAGTTAAGCCCAGGTTATGTGCCTATCGACCCACATGGACACTACTGGACACAGCCGTTCCTGTCATCACGGCTAGCCAATGAAGACTATGCGAGAAGTCACTGCGTTGTAGCGCCACAGCTTGGGGACTTCAAGATTAACTTTGCTAGCCGACATCCGAATGATATTACCCGACTTCCTGTTTCCTCACTTCAAAAGCCACATCTTGGCCATCCATAGGCCAAGACTTTGGAGTTGAACGTCATAGAGGCGCACTAGGGAGAACAAGAATAGAGCTTTGCGCCTGGCAGCTGGTTCCGAGATGCCGTTTGGCTCCGCGAGAGCCACTCGGAGCTTGAGTCGTTGCATTGCACTCGCTCACCGTTCCAATGTGTTGGCGCGTAGCACTTTCCATGAATCTTGGAGGGATGCCACTTGCGGCTCTACAAGAGTCACGGCAGGCGCACTCTCTTGGTATGAGTCCCAAAGCTTAGTGAGCGCCATTCTCCTTCTCCTTCTCATCTCTCTGTCGGAGACTTATACCAGCACCCATGGGTCGCCTTCTCCTAAACACAGTCCCACACAGCGCGCGGACTCTATACTATCTGCGCTACCGGGTCGCTGTTGTATTCTTCATACTTGCCCTATTCCAGCAACAACATCTGTACCTCACTAGTCGACAAGCACTCTCAGAAAAGTACTCTGCGACCGACTTCAGCTCTCACAACGAAGGAGACCTACAAGCTCGATCTTGGCAACCCTATGACGAAAGTTCGAAGTTGGAAGAAGAGCTAATAGCAAACCGGGCGTCTTGGAAAGTGCTTGGCGAGGGCTGGGAGGGCAAGGTGTTCGCCTATGGAGACTCGGTTATCAAGACGTTCACACCAGGGCGGAGTCCATTCCGAAATTGCGCGCCAGATGCGACCAAATGGCCAACGGAAATACCCGCATCACTACAATTTGGTGGTGCCGCTGCCGACGAAGCGAACGCGACGAAGAACGGCTTCCTTCCCGTGAGAGCACATTTCATGGCTTCTACAACGCCTGGCGAACCGGCCGAATGGCACCTCGTCACTCCTCTGCTCAAAGGCGGCAATCTTCGTTCACTTGCCAACAACCTGTCGTCGGAAGCAACGCCTATGGCTTATAGTCAGGTCGACGGACGCTATCGGCCAGCCTTCAACCAATTACTTGAGAACCTGGGAACTTTGCACCGTGCAGGATACTGTCACGATGATATCAAGCCGGCGAACATCTTTGTTCAAGACGAGTCCCACTGGGCAATCGGCGACTTGGGCAACATACGAGAAGTATCCCACCCCTACCACTCGTCGCGTATCTGGAAAGACAACGACCAGCTAGGGGATTGCCGCGCAAACGATGTGCTACGAGCTTTGCAAACATACCTGAAGTTTATTCAGTCTTCTGTTGCCGATGAAGACGACTTCAATGCAGCCTTGTACGAAGGTCAGACACCCTTGAGCAGGCTCTTTTGGTGGACACTTGCCGATGCACCACACATGAGTGCCAATGAACTTCGTCAACGTTCCATTTCAGAACACCCTTTAGCGGAGACCAAGGTGGATGACAGAGTCCCTGTACCTGCGCGACCTCATCCTTTTCTGAGCCTGTTCTCCGAGCGCGAGGCGGTCAAGCGGGCCACTGACCATGCACTTATGACACGGATGGACGAGAGAAGCGTACGACTTTGGGGCATGGTGTGGTTGTTCGGCGTGCCCCAGCCGGATCTTTGTTGAGCGACTTTTAGCGGTTTGTGGAGTTCGATACCCAGGGTACACGGCGTTTTATTACTACCTAATGAATTGATCCTTCACATTTTTCGGCAGAGAAGCAGTTTCCAAATTATCTGGTATTACAAAGTTTATCTGATGAAAGCGAAGAACTCCTGTTGCATCGGGTATCAGCCATCTTGGCAAGAACCATCTCCCACATGTTGTTTCCTGCATTTCAGTCAATTTGGCTCCCGTTTGTTGGAGGGCACGCCGCTTACCTGTAATACATGATATCACCACCAGGGGCAGTCGTCATAATCAATGCCGCCGCCGGCGAAATCACCATTCTGGTAACTCTTGTACGTCGCCCTTGCCCTGTTTATGCGGTCTTTCTCGTCCTCAACCACAGCTTCAAGCTCTTCCCTGTCAAGCTTATTATGTTTCTTGACATATTCGTAGACCTGGTACGGCGAGAACTTCTTCGCTTGTGTCTTTGACTTTTCGTTAACCTTGTAGTCGACACCAGCGTCGACGAGTTCCTGAGCCGTGACCTTCCACCACTTCCTGAGGTACTTCTCTTGCATGTAGAGATGGTACTTGCCACTCTTGAATCGCGATGGAGCACTGGAAACAGGAGGCAACGCTCCACTAGCTCTGCGTTCTGCGTTCCACTGGTCGATGGCTCTCCGGATAATGTGATCGCGTGGTAGGTTTCTGCAGCACTCGCTGGATATCCATCCAAGGTACTGTTCGTCGAAGCGACTGATGTGCGCTAGTGTGTTCCCCCTGTGCTTCCCGGTTTGAATGAAGTAACTGTGCAGAGGGTTCCTGCGCGCGGACTCCGCGTCTGGAGAATGCTCGTTGATGTATTCGCGTTGTACGTCGAAAGACCCGGGGCCTTTACCCCGCCCGGCGTTGTTCCTTGGTGACGCGCCATAGGGCGAGCTGCGGTAGCCCTGGGTATGGCTCTTCTGCGGTGCCCGGCCGTGGTAAGGCATGGTAGATGTAGTTGGTAGTGTAGTGTGAAGGTGCTTTTGCAAAAAGAAGAAATAATGGTGGGTACGAGAAAGATGGTAGCGAGCGCGCGTCCATATAAACCCTCTCTCTCCACTTGAAACCAGTGACGCCTGCGGAACCGGAGAGAGTACCGACAGCGAAGTTTCGCGATCACCGTTGGTGCTTATCGATAAGGCACGTGTTCACGCGTCTCCCGAGGTCCAACCGTAAGAGGAATAGACTCCTCACATTGAGATATCCAACCTTGAAACCTTGGAAGGAACGTGGTTTGCAGTCCTGGTCAGACTGCTTCCGCTACCATTGAGCACATACCAATTTCCAAGTCGAATGACTCCAAATGACACTTCTCGGGGTGCTTCTAGACAGCCTCCGTTGTGGGAACCACTTCGCTGCATCAAATGACCGGTCTTGAGGTCTGCTTTCGTTTTGAGCGAGTGCTGTGGTAGCAATAACCATGGCGAGGATCTTCGTACAAAGTGCACGAATGAACAGTATCTTCTTGGGAAGGAAATGGAAAAGAACAGCCAGCCTGCGTCATCGCATACAGCAGTCAGTTTGGGCTTCAAAAGATGCTGTAGCAGGTGCATTCGAGCAATCTGCAACTACAGCTGTAGTCCTCCCAGTCATGTATCATCTTGTCCAGTGCTCTTACGACCTTTGTTTTGCTAGTCAAACCTGCCCATGGCCGGATGGGAAGTATTTGCAGGTATCCGCTCTGTGACACGTCATCTGTCCAATGAACTGTACCTAGTCAGTACCGCCGTCGAATTCTTTGTACTCATTCACAGTACATAGCATATGATCACGAGACGAAATTGTGTCCACAGTAGCGAATAGCAGCTGTTATATGCATGCGGTGAATGATATGCGGTGAGGAAGTCTCCAGAAAACGAGGCGGGTAACGGACCGGGGTGAAGCTTGTATGAGTCGCGTGGCTTGGGCGGCTAGCGTGCGCATCATGACATCGCCAACACCACCATCCATCCTCCTATTAACAACGACCCTCAACGTCGATTTTGTTTATGGCGACTCACGAGAGTACCTGGCAATGATCAAAGGCAACGGTACTTGCGGGAATGGCACCAGCGACCCCAACGACCCTTACGGCACGCACCGGCCGCAGCGCGCTTTCCACCTCCAAGTCTCCCTCTCCGCCGCGCTCGGCCTAGTGGCTTTCCTGGCCTTTTGCGTGCGTACTCGCAGTTTTGTCTTCCGACCTACCTGCTGACTGGTTGTATTAGTTCCTCCGCCCACGATGGAAAGGCCTCTACTCTGCACGCAAGAAGCAGAACGACCTCGCGACATCGCTGCCCGACCTTCCCGATAGCTTTTTCGGCTGGGTTTTACCGTTATGGAGGATCACCGACGAGCAGGTGCTCGCCTCAGCCGGTCTCGACGCCTACGTATACCTCGCCTTCTTCAAGATGGCTATCAAGTTCCTGCTTGTCACGCTGTTCTTTGCGCTAGCCGTCATCAAGCCAGTCCACGACACACACCAGGACAAGGAGGGAAAGAAGTCTTCGATTGACAAGAAGCCCAGTCCTGAGCGCATTGAAATACGAAGTACACTTTCGACATTTGCCTCCGGCTACGAACAATACACCGACTATCTGTGGATGTATCTTGTATTCGTGTACCTCTTCACCGCCCTCATAATGTACCTGATCGTTTCGGAAACGAGGAGGATCATCGATGTCCGGCAAGAGTATCTGGGAAGCCAGACGACCATCACCGACCGGACCATCAGATTATCTGGTATCCCTGTCGACCTACGGTCTGAGGACAAGATTAAGGACTTCATTATGGATCTCGGCATCGGGAAAGTCGAAAGTGTGACCCTTTGCAGGAACTGGAAAGAGCTCGACAACAAGGTCGTCGAAAGACAAACTGTCTTGCGGAAGTTGGAAGAAGCCTGGACTGTCCATCTTGGAAGTCGAAGTGTAGAACGAAGCTTGGAAACCCTCCCAGTCGTCCAGCCACATCCGCCACAACATGCTGAGAGCAGCGGCAATGAGGAGAGCGAGACAAGTCGCTTTCTGAGTGACGCAGAACGAGACCCTGGCCACATCAGCCCTTATGCGCAGCAGCGCCCGACAGCGAAGATCTGGTACGGCCGTTTCAAGCTGAGATATAAGAGAGTAGATGCCATTGACTACTACGAAGAGAAATTGCGCAGGCTCGACGACGAGATTCGTGCGCTGCGCAAGAAAGAATTCGAACCGACTCCGTTGGCGTTTGTGACTATGGACAGCGTTGCAAGTGCGCAAATGGCCATCCAGGCTGTCCTCGACCCTTCACCACTACAGCTTTTGGCCCACACAAGTCCGGCACCACAAGACGTAGTTTGGTCCAACACATATTTGTCTCGCGGCCAAAGAATGTTTCGATCTTGGTCGATTACAATCGCTATTGGTATCTTGAGCATCTTCTGGACAGTCCTGTTCGTACCTATCGCCGGTGCTTTGAACACGTGCTCCATTCAAGAGGTACTACCCGGTCTGGCAAATCTGCTGCACGAGCACCCCAACCTCGAGGTTCTTTTCAACAATCAACTCCCTACGTTGGCAGTCTCTCTGATCAACGTACTTGTACCTTTTTTGTACGATTGTAAGTGTGCCAGCCGTCAACAGTCAATGTCTGCCATGTTAACACTCTTTAGGGCTTGCCAACAAGCAAGGGATGATCTCACAGGGCGATGTTGAGCTATCAGTAATCTCGAAGAACTTCTTCTTCGTCTTCTTCAACTTCTTCATTCTCTTCACCATACTGGGGACTGCTTCCGGTTTCCTGGCGATGCTTGAACGCTTCGCCGAGAAGCTTACAAGCGCTACGCAAATTGCATACGCCTTGGCTACATCGCTCTCTAATCTACTCGGCTTTTACACCAACTTCATCATCCTTCAAGGATTTGGATTGTTTCCATTCCGACTTTTGGAGTTTGGTGCCCTTTCTCTGTACCCGGTCTATCTGATTGGCGCCAAGACTCCTAGAGATTACGCCGAACTGGTACAACCACCGGTCTTCAGTTACGGGTTCTTCTTGCCGCAAACCATCTTGATCTTCATCATCTGTATCGTCTACAGTGTGTTGCAAGACTCGTGGATGGTTCTGCTCACTGGCTTGGCCTATTTTATGATTGGTCACTTTGTGCACAAGTATCAACTCTTGTATGCAATGGAGCACAGACAACACTCGACTGGCAAAGGCTGGACAATGATGTGTGACCGCGTTCTCGTCGGTGTCGTACTGTTCCAAATCACGGTGGCTGGTCAACTGGCTCTGAAGAAGGCGTTCAAACGGGCCGTCATGGTAGCGCCGCTCGTAGTCTGCACACTGTGGTTCCTTGTTGTGTTTGCGCGCACTTATCGGCCACTGATGAAGTTCATCGCTTTACGGAGCCTGCGAAGTCCGGAACAATCGGAGCTTGGACGCGACGTTCAAGAAGAAGCGGTTGCCAACGGGCAAGCAGGCAGACTTACACTAGACGAAGCCCGTGAACGTGGCCTGCGGTTCCAGAACCCTAGTATCATCATGCCTTTGGATGACGTATGGCTACTACAGAAACATGGAAGGCCTCAGAACGGATCTCATGGATCTGGGACCGATGATGCCAATGGCAGCTGGGAATAGCCCAGGCGCACTTTCCTCGACAAGTTTAGGGATGTTCCTTCTTGTATGCATCGGACATCCTTACCACCTTGTATAGTCGTCGTTCTTTCCTGGTTTGTGTTTGTTGATACCCACTACCGCAATGAATTTGGTTATGTTCTTACCCCATTATACCTCACGTTCTTCACCCACTCACCGCAGGCACTTCTGCCGCGATACCCATACCACGCCACGCATTCTTTCGTCATTCGAAAGGAGTCACATCCTCTGAACTGGCTAGCACTCCTCTGGTCTCCTTCCTGGTCATTATTATCAGCAACTCACCTTGAACCAACGGTGCACCTCCATCACGGGGGTGCTTCAATCACGTCTTCTCAGATATACCTTTCGCGTGGGGT